GTGGAACAGCCTTTCAAATTAAAATAGTGGGTTAAAGAAACCTTTATGCTAGTGAATAGATTCTGGTAAGTTTATGGGTTAATAGTTTATAATTGCCTGCAGTAAGAATGACTGCACTGAATGATCAAAAAGGCCCATTTAATTGTTTCTTCATTACAGAAGAACTCGTTGAGATCTGTGCAAACTGAAACTATTAGCCAGCTCTGAATGAAACAACTGAATTTTTGTTGAATTTATTTTTATGGCTTTTAAAAATTTTCTGCAAGGAAAATAGCCCAAGGCTAATACTAATTTATCTTTTAAGAACAGAAAATAACCACTGATTTTCAGTGTTAGAAGAAAAAGCAAGATGATATAAGATTCATAAGTATCCACCTAGCACGAGACCCTTGCTTTTGCTATGGCACTACTCTCACTGCATATTTTAGAAAAAGCTTTAAGACTGGCACTTTTTTGGTTGTTATTCAATGAATGATTAATGTAACTGGTGATGTATCACCTCAAAAATCCCTTTGATTTCAGGATGATTTTTTTCTTCTCCAAGGACAATGTCTCCTGTCAGCATTTTCTAAGGGTATACCTGACAGGCAGGCAAATAAAGGGAGGCTGTCAAATCACTTCTCCACAATAGGAAATCCATTTATCTGAAACACTCCTACAGAGTGACTCTGTACGTTGCAGCAAAGGGTTCGAGGAAGATGACCTATCCTTTTGATTTATATCTACAGGGGTTCTGGCATCTTGCAGGACACTTGCTGCAGTTAAATAACTATTAAATTGTCAATATTCCAAGAAAAACAAAACATATACTCAATTTTATTGTGAAAAATCATGCAAAATGGCTAACTGCACTGTTTGTATTCTATTTTGTTGGACTGCACAGTGCACTGAAATCACCAACTGTCAGAGGTAATATGTCAACCAAATGCTTGGAGGCTAGAAGCGTTCTGTCACTGTCATGCTGTGCATAATTTATGCCAGTAATCCTCAGGCACATCTGAGCAGCAGGACACACCGAATGTTAACCTCCTGCCTCACTGGAAAATGTACTTCAAGGCAACTTGGTGATAGTGCAGTGATGAGAACCCAGTTGTTAAACCATCAGCAGCACTTTGAGGTATGCACAGAGCACTGGCTCTGTTACTCCTCTAAAACCATCATCTAGCACTGCTTCTTGCCTGTCAGGAGCAGGGAAATAACACAAAAGTAGCTGCTGATGTAGAGATGGAGAAAGAAGGCTAAAAGACAGAAGCCCTCGCAGTAAGCAGATTCAAGAGGGAAGAACCAATATAACTCTATTTTGGACATGGTGATCCCCTCCTCTGCTGATGACCCAGGCAAAGCTTCTCTAGCTGCTGGCACTGTATTCATGCTAGGAAGCAGGCAAGTGGCATTTCAGCTCTGCAGCAGGACTCCGAGTTGCCCTTAAGCTCCCATCCTTTATCTGAAGCTTTTACTTTGCCGGCCATCTGAAGGAGCTGTAGGCACAGGCTAAAGCAAGCGAGGATTTGTGCTTTCTAAGCCTGACAGAAAGTCTGCTAGGCCAGATGTAGGCAAGGGAATGCATACAGAATTACTAAGTGACTGTGTGCTTAGGGATTCGCTTCATTCAAGTATATTCAAGGTCCAACTTTGTCCCTCAATTTTAAGACCTGGTCCAAAGACCACTAAGTCCAGGAAAACTCTCTGGGCTTTAATGTGTTTCAATAACTGGAGACTTCATTTAAACTATTAACAGCATGTCTCTAAATAATATGAATTTTATACTCTTTGTTCATGGGTGAATGAGTAACAAAACTGATAGAAGATTTAGCCTGAGCAAATATGCAGGTCTGTTTACAGATTTACAAAGGAAACCTTGCACAGCACCTGCCCACATATAATTCTGGCTCCTGGCACTACTTTAAGGATTATTGAATTCCTTCCCACCCACACATCGTTACATAAGTAAAAGCTTAAACACAATTCAGACTAAACATTTTTGAATGCAGAATCCCTTGAGTGCCATAAAGAGAAACAGTGGTGTAAATGAAACTTTAATTTCCATCACGCTCAATAACTGATGTGCTAAAAACACAGATTTTAAAGGAGTGCAGAGTTTATTTAAAGTTATTGATTCCCACTTCCAGTAAATTCCTGTGTTCCAGCAGCACACTGTGTTTCCACTGGAGGCTGGGACCACCACTAGATGTTATGCAGCAAATGGAAAGAAGTTTCTGTCCTGAATGGCTGGCAAAAAGAGATGCCATACAACACGACTTCCATGTGACATGTGAAGAAGGGCAACCTGGAGCAGAATTTCCTAACCTCTGGTGGGCCCAGGGGATTTCTTCCACTTGACTATGAAAACACGGCGTATGAAAAGTGGCTATGAAAGGTAGCTCAGTATTTGTGTCACTGAGCAATGTAATCATGTACAGATTTTACAGACATTGGTATCATCAGCTACAAATTTTTAGGAGTTCATTGATTCAGGGTAGGTTGAAGATCACCATGCAGAAACATTAACGGAAGGGAAAATTAAATCTTGGCCACTGCCACTTATGTACAGCCTGATATAAAAAGAAAGATAATATGACAGTCTCTGGTCGTATCTAATAATAATGAGGAGCTAACAAAGAGGCATCTAACAGAGAAAAGTTTCCAAAAAACAGCTAATGATCAATTCTATTAGTTCAACATGATCTCAGGTGAAGTTTTTAGTCAGACTGGGGTTTGAGCTTCCCCAGTGTTCAAAGGTCAAAAAGCTGACAGTTTTGTCCTTTCCTTCCGACTCCACCTGGTCTTCTGCAGGACAGCAACAGTCTGTCATCTTTTTCACAAATTATGATGTGCTACCATCTCAAAATAGCACCACTTGTAACCTGTATTTGGATAATGCAAGACAATTATAAGAGAGTCCTGGGACATTTCCTGGCTGATCTCAAAGTGGCACTGACACCAGAAAGGAAGAGAAAAACCACCACTGCCTGACAGCAGCAACAGAATTGCAAAAAACCTGGCAAAAATCAGCTTCCACCGCTATGGAAAAAACTTGCTCAGCTTGGTGATTTCAGAGATGAAAGCGTCTGCAGCATTATGGGCAGGTCAGAGGGGAGGGCCATGTTCAAACTCCACTTTGCCAGGCTCAACATGGGAAGATCGTGCTCCAGACCAGCCAGCTCTAACTGTCAACTTCCACAGTAATTCCCACTGTATCTCAGAAAAGTATTTTTGTTACTCAACAATCCAAACCGAACTACTGCAAAAACCAGTGCTGACCTCCCGGACCTAATTCATACTTCACACCATTTCACTGCTGCAGCTGTACCAACTTTAAGAGAATTTACACATTAGTGTATGAGAAAGGAAAAGTAGGTCAGTTGTCTTTAGAAAAACAACTTGAATCTTCAGAGCCAATTTATTAACCTGAACCTACATAAATATGAAAGAACGAGGATCTCAATTGGCTTAAATTTACGCAGCTAGCACCTGAAGTCTACATTTCAAAGGCATGTGCATTTTGCATAATTTTTCTGCCTCTCATCAACCCTTTCCCTTGTAATTTATGCTATATGCATCTTGAATGAAAGAAAAATAATAATTTTCAGGCACTGTTAACCATTAAATGGATTTTCCAAGTTTCACTGCATATTAATGACACCACTTTTGCATTCATTCAAAACTATGCATGATTATTTTACAGCATCCCTTTTTGTTGAATTTTGCTACAGTATATATACCAACTCTGGATATGAATATTTATAGCACAAACATTCCCCTCCTGTAATGATTTCAGCATACCTCATTACATTAGGTAGAATTAAAATTAAAAACAAAAATCATGTTCAGGTCACAAACCAAAAGATGTCAGTGCTTAGGAAGAAACTCTGATTAAGGTATTCTACATAATACATGCTTGCTGGGGTTTTTTACTTTGTTCTGCAATACACAGCATTATTCACCTTCAAATAAAGGTTATTATGAAAGGCTGAACTAGGGTTTGATCTGATAAATTAGTTCTTATGTTCATAAAATGCTATTGGTTTATATATCCTCAGAACTGGGCATAAACGTGGTAACTGAGCAACACATTAAAATAAAGCACATATCGGCCATCCAGTTGTTCTGCCCCCATAAACTGCACCTGTACTTCATGCTTCAGCCAATCAATGTAGGTTTCCAAGGATTGTCCTTACCACCATGAAAAAAATTTTCCACAAATGAATACAAAGATGGATAATTTTTCAGTATTAGGACTAAGACCATGTTCACCTTTCAAGAGGTTAAACCATTATTTGCTCAGAATTCCCTAAAAGAAAATGTTTTCTTCAAATCTGCTGTAAAGTCAGTAACAGAGGAGCATCAAAACTTGTTTATAGTTTATTCTATAAGACGACAGCTGCTCTCAACTGGAGGAACTGAATTACAGATCTCAGTCAGTATCTCTGCTATAAACATCTCCAAGAACATGCATTTCCACTTGTTCTGCAGGGAATTTCCTACACAGAGACTGGGCACAGAAGATCACTAAAGAGTTTATAAAAAAAAGGAAGTATTCTTCTTTCATTTTAAAACTCTTCACCTTCATTTATCAGCTATCAAGAGGGAGTCTTCTCATAAGTCTTTCCCTCCTTGCTCCAGGAAAAACTGATCATTAAAATCTTAAGAACCTGGCTGGGACCTGTGGGATTGGCCAGACCAACCTCCAACACAAGACAGGTCAACCTTTTAAGTTAAGATTAAGTTGCTCAGTCTTTTGCTGCTTGAATTTTATAAATCACCAAAGATTGCAATTCCACAGCCTTTGTAGATGACCTGTTCCCGGGCTTATTTCACCATATAGATTTTTTTGCCTTCTCTTCTGCAAGTTGAACATAATTCCCTCAACCATGGCAGAGGTGAGAGGAGGATTGTTTCCCTGGACCTGCAGGCTCCTTCCCCTTGTAACTATTTCTGTTAGTGCTTATCACAAATATATTCTCTCTTATATATATTTATATATTTAAATTAACACTCACCAGCCACTGCTGAGGTATTTCTGGCAGAGGCATTTGAGGAGGTGCCGGCAAACTGTTGGCAACTTCTTGTTTCTGTACATGTTCTTTTATTTCAAAACCTGTGGAAGAGCAACAGACATCACTTAACATTTCGGTGGATGCAAATGGGACATTTTTTTCCACATGTGGACACCATGTCTGACTGTCACACACCAAGATCTGGCATGCAGCTCTGTTCACAGCCCACCTCCCAGGCGCGGTTACTGAGGCAGGACTAGAAGAATGATGGGAATTCAGGAATTTAATCACGCGGAACAAACACATACTTACTCTATATGATAATGACATATATGCTATTTGGATCAACAAACACCAGACGGAAAAAAATTTTCAGGAAATCATTCTGAAGTGCCTATCCATCTGGAACTGAAAGACTTAAACAACTAACATTCTAATATGTTGCCAGGCACCTACCATACAGATAAAACCATTTATGGGGGGAAAATACCATACTTGTGAACATCCTAAGGGCACCATACAGTGAATAAAACACAGTCAGCCTGTGGGCAGTATGTGGCTGTCTGCCATTTACAAATGGAGACAAGCAACAGCTGCTCCCATGGCACATTTTGGATGGGCAAGACCACCATGGAGAAATGAGGCCAAAACAACCCTTCATGCCGTAAGAGTGGGGTAGAGGGCAGAAGAAGAGACCCTGCCTGCCTCCCTTCCTGGCAGCAATGATGACAGCTATTTGGCCAAGCCCACAGCACTGATATTCCCTGCAGTCCCTGCTGCCACCACCTCTCATCATGGAGCTGTGGTGTGAGTCTCCCAAGTCTTGGGAGATGCAGGATGCTGTGACACCCCAATCTGGAGCACGCTGCTGCTGGGGGGACACTGCCCTAACCAACTCACTATTAACAGAACCACACACAGAGCATGTTTTCTCACCATTTCCTTCTTTCTCTCTCTCTCTCTTTTTTTTTTTAAAATAATCCCATAGTATTCCAGGTGAATTTGAAAAGGGAAAAGAATCTGAATGTAGAAGCTGCTTTGAGGGTCTTTGTATCACTATTGCATCTCCCTCCCAGGGGAAAAGAGAAGCGACCCACTCATTCTGAGGTTTTGGCCAAATAATTTAAATCACAGTTGCACTCACTTCATAGGAACATAAAATAGTTTATTTTTCTAAATATCAAAATGGAGATTAGGGTGCATCTCCTCAATGTTCTGGCAAAAATTCAATGTATGGTACCCTGCTCACCCCTAGACTGAATTTAGCTCCCAGTGTTTAGTTTTTAAAATATATATTTACATAGTCAAACGGATATCTTTTGGTCAAGATCATGTAATTCTCAAAAATGTAATCAATGATGAAATGTTTCTTGTCATAATACCCCAGTCCCACTGGCTTCGTCATGGATTGAAAAACAACACTGATAAAATAAACTGGCTCCAAGGGCCACAGATTCTTCTCTCTTCATACAAATCAAGAGAGTGATTAGTCTTGGGAAACATTCCAACTTTTTTTTCAGTATAACTTTCACTTGTTTCTCCTTATGAAGGATGAATCCATATTATGACTGCTATCCATCTGTCTCCTATGCTTTCCATAACAGAAAGTCAGATATGAAGGGGTTTTTACTGCAAAAAAGAAGTATTCCAAGTGAATTCTAATGTTACGGTAAAACTAGTTTTTCTCCAGTTTTAAACTATGTGTGTTTCAACAAGAACCTGCTCTATTTCTCTTTATTTTCTTCTACCAAATCACACAGCAAAGTGAGCACTATAGGTTTACTGCATCAGGTCCCTTTAAGGAAAACAGGCAATGTTGACAGTCATATTATATGACTAAATCCAGCAACAATTCTTACTCCAAAATAAACTGTGTCTTTGTTTTCTAGAAGAAAGTCTGAGTTTCAGAAGGAAATGCCAAGTGTTTTCTTCAGACCTACAATCCACTGGGCGTGCCAAGGCTCAGGAAGAAAAATAAAGTTTATAGTTTTGCCAGCTATTCAGAGTAATCACTCGTTTGGATGTGGGGCAGGTCAAGACCAGGCAGCTACGACCTGAAGAACACATCTGCCTGGCCCAGTACTCTCTGCTTTATAGTTATTAAATGAAGAAAACAGTGTGTATTTGGAAGATGGAGTAAAAGAAGGCAAAAGTCTTCTAAAGAATTCCCCAAGTAAGAACTTACAGAGTTTAAAGTGTTTTACTAAAAGCTAAGCAGCCCATTATAATTTCCACACCTTACAAAGAAAAATATAATTGTCCATTTCCAGATGTTATAAAGAACCCGAACAGTTCCCAGTTGCTCAGATACTTCATTGCCATTCCACATTGATCTTAAACGGTTCGCTCCAGCAACTGAAATATCCTGTTGGATTCACACAGTTGATTTTTGCAAATGCGTATAAAGAGTCTGAACTCAGCACAGTCCTCAAGCCTCTTAAACTGTGCCAGCAACCCAAGAGCTCTTGTGGAGTTATGTGGGTGGAGTAAAACAACATTTTGAAAAACAGACTCCAAATGATAGTTTAGCTTAGTTACAAAGTACTGTGGGTTTATGCATCTTTTACTACTTTTAATTTTAATGAAGAGATGAATAGTTTCAAAGGGATGGGAGTACTGAATGTTATAACTGATAAAAAAAACCAGCAGGGTCAGTTCCAGTAAAGAACATGACTCCCCAGGTAGTTTCACACACACTTGAAGCCAGCATGGGATGGCAGGACTCCCAAGGATGCAGCTTCTTTCCTTCCCTGCCTTGTTCCTGTCCCTGCACCAACCTCTCCTTTGTGCCAGCATAAGCATGTGTGTGGCCTCAGGTTGAACCAGACCAAGGAAGTGACACTGGTTAAGACCAAACCAGCAAAAAACCCCAAATAATGCTTGTGCTAGCACAAAGAAGGATGCAGTACATGATGAGCAAGAATGAGTAGACTGGGGAGAGAAACAGGATGCTTTTTTTAGAGGCCATGCTGGCTTAAACTCTATTTAAACTGCAGTTCCATAAACTAGAGTTTATAGACATATAAAGCATAGTCCTGTGACTTCTTGCTTAACTGAACTATAGGATTTCCTTGAATTATTTCTTGCTTAACTAGAGCATATCTTTTAGCAAAATATTCCATCTTGATAAAATGCCAGCAATGGCATGCACACCGTATGAAGTTCTTCCATTAGATCATAGCTTCAATGCTCACAACATGTGCTTTATTCCCACTTTGAAACAAACATTCAGCCATTGCACTTACTGTTTTAAGTCTAAGAGCTCATTTTTAGACATTCTTTCTCTACATCAAGATTAATTATGATACCTCATTTTGGATAATTTGAAGGCATATTTCTGTATCCTTTAATCACTTTTAGGACTTTCCTTTGAAATGTCTAAATTTTATCTCCTTGAATATAGGTGCTAGAAGTGGGTAAAATGTTCCAGTAACAACTGCACTGAGCTAAGCTCTACCACTTAACATATGGATCTTGTATAGATCTTGCTAATGGATGGATCCTGTAATAGGATGTAATAGGATGTAACGGATCTTGTTACAGATCCTGTTACAGGCTTTAAAACCTAAATGGTGGGTGCTGAAAGGCAGAAAGCTACAGTTCTTGGTTTTATTTTATCCTTGGCCACATCTAGAGTCATAAATTAAACACACCTAGGAAGGTGCTCTGGTACAGAGAAATTGGTATCCATAAGGATAAAATCTCTCACCTCTGTTGGGAACAGATCCTTGCCTGTTCTAACTCCCAAATCATGCTTAGGAACTGATGGAGGAGATGAGTCAGCTCAGCTCAAATCCATGCCAAGGACCACTCCATTAATTTAACGCATAAATAATTGAGTTCTGGGGTCCAGAAACATACCCAGCACTATTTAATTTACTAGTAGAGCTGTAGCTTTTGTGTCCTGAAACATCATCTACAATCCAAAAGGAAAGGATATGACAACCCTTCCCTGTGTTTGCAAAGTTGGCAACAGAATGTCATCTGACTTCTTGAGGAAGTCAAATGTTTGTCTTAATAAATCTAGTTGAAAAGATTACAAGAAGAACATACAGTGTCAGATCAGCATTGCTGAGGTTATTTTGAACTCCTGTAAAATATAGCTGGTTTTGAACATATTAAATTGCATGTTCTCACCTACAGAGTTTGGTTTTGGGGAGTTTGGGGGATTTTGATCAGCTTTGGAGCATGAAGCCTCCTTCCACAATATGTGAAATATTGGTACCTGACTCCTCCTCTCAGTGGTAAAGTAAAAATTGTGATAGGTCTTTAAAAATGTCAAAATGGAAAGGAGGACAATCATTATTTTCAAGTTGATCCCCCTGGACTTGAATCGTGTGGCAAAAATGATTACTGAAGAGGAGAAACACTACATCAAACACGACCATATATTTTTAGCACTGGAAAAGAAACAAATCATGAGAAATTCATCTGCTCACAATGTGGCATTTTTCTTCAACACACTCTGGTAATTTTTCAAAAATCTAAACCCTGAGGATTTACACTGACAGTATTTCTGTCACATGTAGGAGAGACAGAGGTCTTATGGCCCAGATGCCAGTTCATACAGAAAGGTGCTGTAGGGAAGTAAGAGTACTGTTAGTCAAAAATCTGAGGAATATTCTTTGTATAAGCTCTGTGGAAAGGTTGATGTACATGGTGAATCATTTATATTGTATTCAGTGCCATAATCCTGACAGAGACAAAAGCAATTGTGCTATCAAAATGATTTTAGATAGGAAGAAAAGGGGAAAGTGAATATAACACTAATTGCAAAATGCAAACCAAACATGCTATTAAAAAAGCATCACTTCTTCAAACAGTAAATTTTACCAGCTGTTCTGAACTTTGAGATGTATGAATTTGCTGTATGTGAATTCTGTTTGGCCAGTTCAAAGTATGCCACTTCATAGACTGAGACCTAGGGTTGTGGAGATTTAACTACCCCTCTAGTCTGCAGCTAAGACTAATCACATGAGACCTTATGCCCTCCAAGTTTTTTGATATTTGTGGGGTTATCCAGTACTGACTGAGTACTACTTAGGTATTTCTGCCCTGTTGTTGAGCAGCAATCAGATGAAGCTTACTTCAGGGTTGGACTTGATGATCCCAAGGGCCTTTTCCAACCCAAATGATTCTGTGATTCTATGCTGACAGCCATTTCCCAGCTCTGGCTTGGCACTCCTGTATCAGCCATGCACCAGAGCCCACCTCAGTATCAAGCCTTTTAATTGATTTGGGTCATTTGACTGAGATGCAGCATGCAGCACCCACGCATCTATAAAATGGTGCTGTGGCTAGCACTCCCTGACGCAGTATTACTTCTTCATCAAAACTCATAAACAGCATTGCTGCTACAAATAAAATAAAATAACCACTCTATCAGCAGAAATGAAAACATTCTATCTAGCACACAATTCTGTGGTTGGATTCACCCATGTGCACCCAAGATACTTCCAGCATGCCTTTTGCTCTATTTTACTGTGGAACATGAAGGAAGGCATTCAGGAAAGTTACACTTTGGCTTCACCCTGTCTGTTCTGATTCAATTTAGAGCTTGCCTTTAGCTCTTAAAGCTATTTCACTGAGCACAGACTTATTCTATGCATTCTGCAAGCAAGAAAACCCACCCCTGACACTGACCTTTTGATGACTGTATCCTCAGGAGAATGTTAGTTATTACTGCCTTCTTCTCCCTGACAGTGGAAGTTAGATATTCATGGTCCAGAAGTTCAAGAAACAGGCGCAGCTCAACTATTAACTCTTCCATGGCTGAAAGACAAAAAAATAAAATTACTTTTTCTAAAAAGTCCCATTAGAAAAAAGACAAATTCTCATTTACTCACATTCATAGCTATTTTCTAGCATTCCTTAAATATGTATGGTCCTCCCTGTTGGAAACAGACTACTCAATAGTAAAACCAATAGAATAGTCCATTAGTGAGCACTATTGGCATTTGTAGAGGTTATCTCAAACTTGATGCAGAAAAAACAGTTCTTTTCACATACCACATCATCAAGCCATCACTAGACAAAATTAAGTGCAGAAGTAGTGGCCATCTGCTTTTCTATCAGTGCCACTCTGGTTCTCTCCCTTTAACGAACAATTTCCAACTGCAGAGCAAAGTTAAAGTTTGACAAAGGTTCTAGACACATCAATATTTTCCTAAATCTTCAGGGAAAGTCTCTCTTTCCTCATCTTATTTCTGCTGTTTGCTATGGTAAAAAAGAGTGGGTATTCCTTTTTTACAGTGATTTGTCTTAAAATTTCCAAAGACAAGCTCCCAATCCACCACATAATTTCTTATTACTCCTCAGATTCCTGATGATGCACTTCATATTTCATCCTATTTCTACTATTCCAGATCTCACGGCTTTCCAATTTGTTCTAGAAATAATTACATTCCTTCTCCGTATTCCCAATGCTTCTCCATTTTTTATCAACAAACTTTATAAGCACATGTCTATGCTTTTCAAGTTACCTCTAAAGTCTTGCTTTGTCTTAATACCTGCAGTAGCTCAGAGCATACATATAACCATATTTGTTACAGCCTAGTCATCTGATACCTATTCAGCAGGTGTATGAGAAGCCTGTGGTACTGAACCTCATTTTCATGCTTTAATTCTCTCATAATTCTGAGATTCTCTGGTCCCTTTGCTTAAGTGGACTCGCTATTTTTAGTTTTGGTTTCATCTTGGATGGAATAGTTCACATTTCCATACTTTCTGTATCTGATGTCATTATCCTCATTAAAAGATGAGGAGAAACATCCATTTCATTTCAGTGCCACACCTAGGATTAATTTCAGTCCTATTCCCATTCCAAAATGCCTTTACTTAAATTTTTCTCTACTTAATCACATTTGTTTTTATAATCTTTTCAAGGCCTAACAGGGTGACCACTGCTAAGCCTCTTCAGACCTCCAAAAAGTACATTTTTTGCTGCTTACTTCCTTACCAGCTCTTCCCTACTGCTAAAACCTTTTCTGACACAGTTGTTTACCCAACTGAACCTGCAATCCTTTTTTCCATTTCTGAGAACATGTCCAGATGTTTAAAAAACATCCTTGGTCAAGATGCACTTGTTTTATCCTACACTTGAAAACAACACTGTGCAGGGAAACCTGCAGATGCCAGCTACAGCCCTACAAGAGGCTGTTGGCCCCCTTCTTGTCTCCAGTGGATGCAGCTTTTCTCACTTACTTGCAGATTGTACCTGCAAGCACACTCAGGCTGCTCTGGCAAACCTGACAAACTCATAGCAGGCACAGAAGACACACCAGTTCACAATACCAAGGAACGATAATGTCTTAACAAAGAAATTCCTGAAGAAGTACACTTGGACAAATATTTTCTGAAAAATTTGCAGATATACATCCATCCTGCCAATGTTTTTCCTTGGTGAATATGTTCTTCTATTCAACTGAGCAGTAGCACTGCCATTATAGAAACTGTCCACATTTTCAGGAAATACATTTCTCAAAGTTTTTTACAATATATAGGCAGGAAGAGGGTATCCAAAATGACAGCAAAACTGTCTACATCACTTCACAATGTAACATCCCTTGGCTACAGATACTTTTTTTTGCCATCACACTTGTAGCTAAACTGTCTAGAATTCTGTCAGAAATCCAAAGTATTTCACAATAACGCTATTACTTCCAGTGGCGTTCAGATTATGGAAGAACAACACACACATCTACAGCATAGAGCTTTCTGAAGCAAAAAGGTATAGGTTCAGATTTACAAAGCGGTAAGTGATCACAGGACTCAAGGAAGAAAAAAGAAAGAGGACCTATGACCTAAAAGAAATAGTAAAACCCGAATAATCAGCTCTTAGAATTTTGTTATATCATACACTTTAGAAATAAGATATATATGCCATTAAGTGTATAGTGGTCTCTTGTTTCTAAGTATGCTTTGAATGTAAGACGTGTTACTATTGTTAAGATTTATTTTAATTATGGAATATATGAATCTTAATATTTATTTATTATAATACATGGCTTTCAAATGCTATCATTACCACGGAATCTAGATTGTGAAATCTAATCAGTATACAGTACAAGAAATATATATTTTTCAAGTAATTCTACAGCCATATAAATTATTGTCAGTAATTGTATGTATTCCGAGGTAAAGAGACAGGGAAGCAAGAGAAGAGGACATAGGAAACTGCTGCTGGAGAGACTCCTGGGAGCTGGTATCAGCCCAAACCTATCCTGAGGCCTCATCCCATAAATGTGTGGCCTTCCTGGTGACCGCAGTCCACTGACCTACAATTACCAAGCCACCTAAGTTACTGGAATCGTTTTCACTGACTCAGCAGAGGATTTTTAAAAAAAAAGCCTTGGTTAGGACTGATAGAGGATGACAAGATGAAGGTGATACCAGTGAGATGATGCTTAGAAAATCTCAAAACTGCTGCTGTAGTAACACATTCACCATAACTGCATTTACACTTGGCCTGGTGTCCAGCACTGTGGTTCCAATATCTAAGAGTGAATCATAAAGGAATAGTGTGAGAAGACTTGCTCTTCCCACCTTTGTAAGCTTACAGATGTATGACACTGACCTCAAGCTAGCCATCACTAATGACAGTCTAAAATTTTAGTATGACAACAAAATACAATTATTAGCAGCTGTTGTAAAATGCTAGGCATGAACATTTAAACAACATTTCTCTTATTTTTCTACCAGAATTAAATTGGGAGTGTATTTTCTTTTGTGGGAGTTAATAGTATCACAAACATCGAAGTGTGAAGGAAGGAAATTCTGAACTTCACTTTATATATATGTAATAATGTCAAACATCCCAAAAGCAAGGAAAGAAACACTGTTCCCAGCTAGTAAGAAACACTTGTTTTACATATCTTAAAAGTGTACTTTTCTTTTTTAATACTTTTGCTGCTTAAGCAGAGAACAGAAATGGTGCCATAGAGTGAATTTCAAGTACTTAAAATAAGGATCTGAAAACTCTTTTTCTGAAGATGGCAACAAAAAAAACTAGTATGTACCCAGGAAAAAACAAGTTTGCCTGGTGTCAATCCTTGGCTTAATCTCTGAATTAAAGAATCTTCTTTTCTCCTTCCTAGAAATGTAATGATGTGCTCACAAAAATTAATGGAACTAAATAATAGAAAATCCACATAATGCATATTTTTGGTAAGCAATCATTACTTCTGAAATGGAGACTAAAAATGAGAGGGTGATGCAAGTCCCAAAGAAAAACATACTCCTTCACTGAGAGATTACCCTTGGAAATCTGACATCACCACAAAATAAGAATAATAATCAGAAGGCTCTCAAAAAGGGGCCAATTTATTTGACAGTTTTGGCTGCATTCTCATTGCCAAAAGAATTGCATGTAAGTGGCAGGTGGTGAAAGGCAGGGTGGAGCCCAGGGATGATAATCACAACAGTAAGCAGATTTTAGCTTGACTGAGGAGCAAATTCACATTCCATATTAAATGATGAGAAGTCCATTCTATGCTCAATAGGAATTATAGGCCCCTAATGGGCTGCTGCAATTGCCATGCACAAATAAAAAAACAATGATACATCCAGAAGGGTTTCCAAGACTGACTCTCAAGAGTTTTAAAGTTTTTCAAATGACAGCACATAAAAACTATATACACAAGCCAGCAACGGAATACACCAAGGTAAAAATAATCAGAGGAAGGCAATTACATCACACTGCAGTTTTTGTTCCAAACAAGAACTAAAACCAACTGGGACTGAAAGAGCATGATGATCCAGTTATTCCAAATCTACATTTATGGGCACTAGCCTATAACCATTTTTTAAAGAATATAAAGTTTTCACTTCCAATTGATTAAAAAAAAATCATAGGAGCAATGCTATATCACACACATGATTTCAAGGTTGCTTTACCCAGAAGAAAAGACAAGGATGAGCTCATTAAAAGAATGGTCAGATTGTTTTTTGGTCACTCACAACTGTTATGGTCTATCTTAACCGTACCATGACCCAAATGGCCTGAAAGTGTTTTCCCGCTGACTAATATATGCTGAAGAACTTTTAAAGAAATACAAATCCAGGAAGGAGGACAAGAAGTATTTTTTATTAATTATTGTCTTGTTTATACAACACAAACCCCTCACAAAGTAAATGCACTTCCATGCTTGCACGTCTATTATAAATGCACGTATACAAATATGTCAGTACACAAATCTATTACAGAAATATCAGTTAAAATTGAGCTTCAAATTTTCAGAAGATCCTCTCAATTGCACATTGCTGAGTCAAATTTCTCTGGGCTTAAATTTTCTGTTTTCTGTTTAGTTTGTCATTTACAGATGTTAAAGTCCAGAACAGACCACATCAATGAGATCCCCTAGAAGAAATCACCTAATCTGACTTTCTGTAAAACACAGGCCAGACAATTTCATTTATCTGCTGCTCTGTTAGTAGACAGACTTGTATTTACCTAAAGCACATCTTCCAGGAAAGCTAAAAATCTATGTCCCATTTACCTTCCTGAAGCAAATTTGACTGGATTTAGGGATAATATTGATGCTAATCTTCAAGCTATAGATGAAAATCAGGTGTTGAGAATAGGGGTGCTTCAATCCAAATACAACCCAATGTGCGCGCGCGCGCGTGCGCACACACACACACACACACACACACACTATATTTGGTAACCACTGACAGGTTTTCAAAGTGGATGTCTCTGCCTTAACCTTGCTTTTATGGTTGTTTTATGCAAGGCTATATTAAATGAAATACATACCTAATTCTATAACAGT